GCCTTCATCAGGGCTAAGAAAAATAACCAGATAACAAGGTATGAGAAACATAAATAGTGATGGTAAAAAAAAAATTATATTAAAAAAATAAATAAATAAGTAAATATAAAGTAAAATGAAATTGTTAGAATAATGACTAATAACTAAGAGATAAATAATAATAACCGTTACAAAGTGTGGAATGATGAAGTAGGCATAATCAAAAAGGGTGACATAAGTGTTAAAATGGGAATCTTTGAATAAAATGTAAAACATAAAAAAGAAATATGAAGTTATATAACGAATGAAAATAAATAGTAAAATTAAGACATTGAGAATGGAGTAGTTAAATAGAAAATTATCGTTAGAAAATTAATAGATTAGAATAAATTATCGTTTTCAATGTAATATAAATTGAACAATTTATTGATTCGTTAATTTCTATCAATATTCAGGTGTATAATTTTGATTGTGAGCCGCTAGATATACATTTTTTTGGTATTCAAAATATGTATAAATGAGAATTGGACTGCTGCGATGAGAGGCTTCGTCCATCATAGACTGAAATCAGTAAGAGTCAGTGATTATTTAATTTTTTTAGTTCATACACGGTGATATTTGGAGTAGAGACATTTTAATAGAAGAAAAAATGTCGAAAAGCATCTCAAATCCCCACCCGTTACAGAGCACTATTATTTTTTTTCGGATAACTTGTACTGTTTTGATACTGTTAATACGATACAGCTTTATCACTTGTTTATCCAGCTGTCCCTTGAATATTTGTCTATGCATAAGTATGAAAACAAAATCTTTATTTTTTTAATCTTAACGCAAGTGCCCCATCGCAAATAAATATTAGTCGGGCTGAGCTGAGCCAGCTGATTTAACCGAATGCGCTAATATTTCGCAATTGAACGCCTCACTGGCGCTTCACTGGGTTTGATGAATGTTATGAATTATATTCATAATATTATATTCTTTGTTTTACAATATGTTATGCTAATTATGTTACAATGTATTATGTTATGTTAATTATCACTCGTAATGATTACTTTGTGTTGTTTTGTTTTTTGTGTGTTTTCTGGTCGTTTTCCACGCAATACTCATTCAAATTCATCATATTTTTTCGATAGCGTTCATCATTATTAATAACTTTGCCAGGTTTTTGGGCGTATGATAGACTATCATAACCGTTCTTCATTTCTTATGTGAAAATCGTCAATTCGAATTTCTTAAACCACTCGAAGTATTGTGATTTACCAAGAGCATGGTCCCCGTAAAGCTTCGACACGCATTTATTGCGATTCTGTAACATTTTTTTTTTTTTTTTTTTTTTTTTAACGATAGTATTAACCTAACGCTGTCCACAAATTTTATTTTATAGGTATAAAGCTCAACGTATTCAACAATATTAAAACGATGCTGTTATAAGAGCTTGTATCTTGTATGTATGGATTGAAAATCTTTGTCAACTGTCGAAGTTGTGAAGTGGTGCAAATAATGACTAACGATAAAGACATGTCTAAACTCAGCACTAATCCATTGAGGAAATTTTGATGCTCATCGATTATCTCAGCGCTGACTTTAGAAACCAGGATTTGAAATCGATAATTGTTTTTTCCACAAAAATCATGTAATAGTAATTATACTTGATTTTTAATAGAAAAATCATGCCTGATTTGTAAATAAAAATTGATGTTTAATGTTTATTGATTCGATTAAAAATAATGATTACTCACTGATTGATATGGTTTTACATAAATAATAGTGATTAAATTTTGATACAAAAAAATGTTCATCAAAAAATAAAAATCACCTTTAACATACAAATTAAATTAAATATTAATATGTATATATACGTTATTAATATACAAATTTTTAAATATTATATTTCTGAAATCACTTTAATTTTACATGCGGTGCCTGTACAATATTTATATGTATATATATATATATATATATATATATATATATATATATATATATATATATATATATATATATATATATATATATATATCTTTTCTTTTTTTTTTTGTAAGAAAAAATTTCTAACTAATGTCAGAAATTAATTATGTCGGAAATAAAGATGTAACGAAATTCTTCACTACTACTCCAGACCTGAAATATATCTTAGAGATTACAATAAATTTTATTTCTGATTAAAAAAGTATTACTCACGAATTATTATTATTGTTAATTGTAAAAGGTATGTTCAAACGTTATCATGAGGATATGATTTTTATCACTTATGACCAAAAATAAAACTCACACTTACTGAAAATTTTAAAAATATTAATCAGATTTGATTTTTTTAATTATCAATTTCAAACCCTGATAGAAACTTCCCCGTGTTATATCAATGAGTTGAGTAAAGATTTGATGAATTTCAATTGCTGATCAATGATCTCTTTGCTGGGTTTAAAAACTTGTCTTAACTACATTGATGACTAGAGCAATCTATGGAGAAATTCCGGTTTCGTATGTAAACACTTGCATTAATAAAATGTATAGTGCAAATAATTGATCAAGACCATAATCCAGAGACATATTTTCCCTTATTTTGAATATTTCTTTATTGATTAATATTATAGTTTATCACAACTAAGGAAATTAGTGGTAGTGATACAGGAGTTTACCTACATCTAAGATTGAAAATAATCTATAGCTAATTCTTAGGCTGCTTTCGCTTATGAGATTTTTATTATATTCTAGTTTTATCCTTTACTAAGAAATAAATGGATTAAGTATTTAAGCCTGACTTAAAAGTAAAGGGAATATTTCAAAAGAATTACTTAGTTCTAAAGTTTTGCAATACAAGTTTCAGAAAATTACCTTCCTCATGATTGTAGAAAGTGGTGTACGCTTCCAATAGATTAGCTCTGAAATCCGTTGACAAAGAAAGAGGGCTGACAAAAGCTGCTTTCAATAAGGAGTTGGTCGTTAAGCGAATTATCTTGCCGGTCTCTTCAGGAGTACCACAACTTTATCCTCTTCCTCCAATCCAAATTATTTTTAACTAAAAATATTATTCAGTCTTTTTTTTCTTCTTCTAATCTTTTCAGCTCAATTGATTAATACTGAAGGAAAATATTTCTCTATTATATAAAGAAGTTTCTAATGACTTTCATATTTTATTTTATTTTAGTATTAGGAGAGTAGGAGCTCTCCTATTAGCTTTATAATTGAATCGGTGTGTGGAGAAACCACTTCAGTCAAAAAAATACTACAAATTGTTTTCCATGAAAAGAAACTTAGTAAGGCAAGATGCATGTTGACTGTAAGAACCACGTTGAGCAGTTCCGTAAATACATGACGTCTTTTTCGATCGTTGAGCGCAGAAATAACATGAGTCAGTGACTGACGTGGATTCTGCACCCACCGCTGGATCGCATGACCAGCAGTGTTCGCATGGGCATATTTATATTCAAAATATAAACACGAATACCATTTATATTTATAGAACTTATTAATGTAACTATACATATATTTATATTCATAAAAAGAAATATGAATACAGATGATACGTATTCACGGCTGTAAATATAAATACTTATTGTAAACTGTATGTGTTTTTATTTATTATATTTTTTTTATTTTAGTTTTTATATAATGTTGTATTGTTATATAATGTGTTGATTTATTCTGTTACTCCAAGTTTTATTTTATTTTATTTTCTTATAATCTTGTTGTTCTTTTATTGTATATATGGTATGATTGTACTTCATTCATCATAAATACTCAATGCCCTTAATTGAAGCAAAATGTATTTTTTTCTCAATAAAAATTGTTCATAAAAATAATGTTAAAAAAAAAAAAATATATATATATATATACATAAAAAAAAAAATATATATATATATATATATACATAAAAAAAAAATATATATATATATATATATATATATATATATATATATATATATATATATATATATATATATATATAAATACGGTCGTATTCACGATTGTAAAAGTGAATACGACAGTATTGACGTTTATCAAAATGAATACGCTTAAATTTACAGAAGTGAATAAAAATATTTCCAAACAACCTTCTTAATGAATACTGTCATTTATTTAAATATATATATATATATATATATATATATATATATAAAATATATTTACTGTATGTATAATTTTATTTCTGTAAATAATATTATATTCTTCGTTTTACAATATGTTATGCTAATTATGTTACAACGTATTATGTTATGTTAATTATCACTCCTAATGTTTGTAAGTAGTATAGATTCCCAACCCTTTATATTTACACTTGTACAAGTGAATACGACAATATTCACGTTTATTAAAATGAACAGGCTTAATTTACAAAAGTCAATGCAAATATTTCACACAACCTTATTAATGAATACTTTTCTTTATAAAAAAAATATATATTTATTTAAAAAAATATATTTACTATATATACTATTTTATGTTTAGGTATAGTATTATATTCTTCGTTTTACAATATGTTATGTTAATTATCACTCCTAATGTTTGCACGTAATATAAATTCGCAAGCCTTTTTTTTAGTTGGATCCATCGTCCCATTAATTACAGTTGTATAATTTGTAAAATTGGGTTTGGTCTGGCGTTAGACGGACATTGTGTAATCCCCTAGTTAATGTATATTAACTTTTGTGTGTGTGTGTGTGTGTGTGTGTATGAGTTTATTGTCCAGTCCGATTTCATCGTCAATTTTGTTTCTTCTTTATCCACTACTCTTGGAGAAGAAAACCATTTGATCATATTCCATTGTCATAATACCCGTATACAAAGTGAATCATTGGTCAAACTAATTTTAAAAAATGAATTAAATTTTTTTATGACTATATTTTTTTGATTTTATTAAACTCATAAGTTTTTTGTAGACTTTAACCTAAATATTAGTCTAAAATATAGTCTTTATTTGGAGTCATGTAGGAAAATATACAGCAAATGTTACTTTTAATAAAATTGAAGAAAAATCAATTAAATATTTATTTGATGTTGATCCCGATTAAAAAAAGGATATGCCCAGTTGGACGGATCCACAGAGGAATGTTGTTAATGATGGTGTTAAAATTCCTGCAAAGGGAAAATGCTCGATACATTTAGAGACCGAAGAGAATGTAAATTGGATATTTATTTCCTCACCAACATTGGCAGTGATGAAAGTACCTTTTAATGTGTTTTCTATATTTTGTTTTGATTTCGTAAAAGCACTTCTTTTTTTTCATTATATATTTTGCCATAACTGTTTTTCAGCTATATTCACGAATATTTTTAATAAAATATTGTATTTATTCAGATATATGCCATCTTAAAAATTGTATATCTTTATTAAAAGACTTCAGTCCAAAAAACTTCAGTTATCCTATTATATTTATCCTGAATATAACCAGTAATTTTTTTTTATTTCGGTTAACCAGTTTTACCATTTATTTTTTGGCATTGTTTATAACTGGTTATTTTTCAATAATCGACTTACTTGTACAAATGAAAAAGTTTGTTTTGAAAAAAAAAATTAAAATCGATTTAAAGATTTAATGGGCAGTTACATTTAAAATCCCGATTTCTCGTTACCTTAAAGTATATCCAGATGCTTGCCAAAAACTGCAAGTCTCAAAATCGACTGATATTTGATAAACAAACTTTTAAAAAACTTAGATAATATCAAAAAGATTGTATATCACGGATGCCGAACTAATTATTTCATTTGATTCAAAACCCTTTAAATTTTTATTTTTTTTTTTGTTTTGTTGAAATTTACAACTGTATTACATAGAAAATACTGTAAGTAAAATGTGACATTGGAAACCTGACATGTACAACATAAAGAGAAACTACCCATTTGTAGAACTCAATCCCTTTAATTTTAAAAAAGAAACAAATATATAAAAATATAAAAGTACAAAAATGCGTATATAGTTGTTTGTTTGTTTAGGCTTTAAGGCGTAAAACCCTAGGGCCATCAACGCCTGTGAGTCAGTTATTTTTGTTATCTGTTGAGTTCTTAAACTCTTTTTAAGAAAGAAAAAAAATGAATTATCAACACTTAAAAATAGACAGATAGAGTAATAAATGAAAAAAACTAAATATATTTTACAAACATATAAAAAATGAAATATACTAAATTTAAAAAAAAAAAAAAAAGGAAAATGAAATAAAAATTATATTTATTCCTATATTGTATTAATATAGGAATAATATAATTGCGGTAACTTGCCGCAAGATTCCTTTGATTTATGACCCAAAACCGAAACTAGAGGGAATTGGCCATATACTCAAGGTAGTTTGCAGGTTGGTGTAAATAATTATACAAAATATGTAACTTAGTACATCTTTTAATTACAAAAAAAAATTTTGACAAAATAATAATCGACAAGTTTCTTTAATGTTATGGGAATGGTTGACCGTAGATTCTAATTTTAGAAGAAGTTAGTCCGGGATATGGTCAATAAATATTGTATTATATAATAGTATTTATTGCTTTGTCCAACGTTTCGACCTACGTTGTTAGTCTTATTCTGGGTATTCGGTCTAGCACTGCTGAAGACAGTACGGCGACTGTTGAGTCGTAGGTCTAAACGTTGCACAATGCAATAAATATACTATCATATAATATTATATTTATTTACCGCACCCCAAATAATTTCTTCTGAAAAAAGATAAAAGTTTCTTTTTATGGAATTAAACAAAATTAAAATATATATCCTCCTTATTTTTTTCTTACTCCACGATACTTGGTGATTTATTATTATTATATCGATTGCAGAATTATTTTAATTGATACTCATTCTACCAATTACGAAGGGGAAGGGAGTGACTTTTACGCAGTAAGCTTTTGCCGCTATAGTAGCATCCACAATCCGACTCGAATTTCCTCCTATGTGTTATATTGTAAACAATTTCACTAAAGATTGTTGGATTAAGTATTTATTAATGCAATTAGAAACCTCAGAAATAATGTTTTTCTATAAAAAAAAAAATTGGAGGGTTTGGGGTTACTTTGGGTAGTTCAAGAATAATTTCATTATTAATGATTGCTAGTTGAGAGCTGTTAAAATTACTTATGTTTTAACTCGCCTACCAAGGCCGAGTCATGTAAAAATATTATTTCGATATGTAGTTTTCTGACAGACTACGATTGTTGAAATATTTAATAAGCCTTCGTTTGCGCCTTCCCACTGCGCTTCTTAGTCTTATTTGTGATTAGTATAATTAAAATGTTTACTAATTATATCTTTATCATTGACAGACTGTTCGAGGAGCACGAGGAGCTGCTGGAACTCTTCGCGAAGCTGAAAGAGCTGCGGACGAAGGAAGAGCAGGCGAGCAGCCTCGAGCTCCAGGAACACGCCACCAAAGTCATGAATACCCTCGACGAAGGAATCAAAGAACTTGATGACCTCGACACCTTCTTTACCTTCCTCACCCAGATAGGACAGTCCCACAAGAAGATACCCGGCTTCAAACCCGATTATTTCTGGGTGAGTAAACAAATGTATTGTGTAATAAGTTAATTTAGTTGTTGAAGCTTCAATTTTAAAAATCTTAGTCATTCATTAAGATGAATGGCTATCTAGATTTTTTTACAGATTTTAGTAAAATAATAAATTTAAGTAAAAATGAACTTCAAGAATATAATATCATATACTTATATGAAGTGTATTCGAAACAGAACACCGTTATTAAGAATACCGATGCTGTGGATAAGAGATAATATGGATAAGAGAAAATAGCTGGTTAGTTACAGTAAGCTCTGAGCCAAGACTAACACATTAATAGGGCAGCCAAAACGAAATTGGAAGGATTGTGTTTAGGCTGATCTTGCGAATTTGGATCCATAGGTGGACGTATGTGTACAGGTATTGGTGATAGTAAATGTAATGCAAGAGCTTGGTTAAGTCAAAAATTATTTATTTTTTGAGAGGTAATAATAAGGGCTTGATCTTGAATAATTCTATTATATGTAAATTGAAATAAATTAATGAGCTGGAGGATCAAACATTTCGTCAATGATTAATACTGATAAGAATTCTAACCAGCTTATATATAATAAATTAACTATTTGCATTCTTCTTATAATTTATTTTCAACTACTTAATTAAACTGTCGCCATAAATGATAACTCTTTTTTTTAACTTTGTTTATTAAAATATATTATACTGTTTCAACAAATAATTTTTTTTTTTTAACTATTAAATTTAACCAGGTTATTGGATCCTATTGCAGATGATTGACCCAGTTCTATTATTAGTTTGTGGAAATAGCGGTGAGGTTGAGGTAGATGGAGGAGGTTGAGGCCAGCACTAGATCATGGTAATGGTAGCCTCAATTGCCCCGCCCATTCTTCTCCCGCGCCCATAAACAAATATTCAAATGGCCTTCTGTCGCTGTAAATTACACAGCTTTGAATACATAACAAATAAATAGTGCTTCAAAACTTCTTATGTATCTCTATTCTGAATAAATCCTGACAGGGCAAAACTGGGTAGAAATATCTTACTACCAACGTAAAATAAATAAATTAGGTAGTTGAAACAATTTATAAACGGTATTAAAAGAATGATCGAAAAAATAACTTTAAGACTTTATAAATTATAATTGAATCCAACTAATAGATTTTTTAAAATTGTTCTTATATTTATTCCTCACCCCCATACCAGACTGAAACGACTAGAAACCGCCCGACGTTTTCGACTACTGCAGCACTTACTAGACAAACGATCTAAGCTTTCAATCAATTATAAACGACTCGTATATATGATAATAATAAGACCTATTTGGACTTACGGAATTGAGCTTTGGGGCTCCACTAAACCATCGAATTCCTCTCGTATCCAATCCTTACAATCCAAAATCCTTCGTAAAATCCTCAACGCTCCTTACTTTGTCACAAATAAAATCATCCATAAAGACCTTAATGTTCCATATGTTTCCGATCTGGCCCAATCCAGATACCTTTCCTTCCATAACAAACTGCAGAATCATCCGAATCCTCTCGTTTCAAACCTTGCTTCCTCCTCAATCCCTGATAACCCTCCGAGGCGTCTGAAAAGAAGATGGCCTCGGGATCTTCTAATATAGAACTTTAATTTGAGTTCTACCAATGGGTAGTTTCTCTTCATGTTGTGCATGCCATGTTACAAATTTCTCATTTACTTATTGTATTCTCTATGTAATACAGTTGTAAATTCCATTGAAATAATAAAAAAAAAAAAAAAAAAAAAAAAATATTTATTCCTCAAATTTATCTGTCGAATATTTTATTTAAAATATATTTATGCATTTGGCGCCTCTCCTGGGCAATTACATCGTGACCGCTCTTTCCTAAAAAAAAAAAAGAAAAAAAGGATAGATGAATTAATAAGATTTAATTTCTAGTGGTAGAGAAATGCTAACATTAGTTTCTTATAAGAAGAGAAGTTTCTCTTATCATACTCATTTTTAGATTTTTGTATTCTATGTACCACTAAACGTCAAGGCTCAATTTCAAAGAGAGGAATATAGTGTTTTCCCTGGTCGATAACTAACGTTTATTATTGAAATTAAGAATGTCGCCCACAATTTGAAATTATTAAAATATTTTATGAATCCCAACAAGTAATGAACATTTTAAATATATACATAAAAAAAAAACAGCTTTTAAATATGAACTTTTTCTCCACCCCGTGTACGTATTTAGTAATTGCTTTTTCTAGACAATAGTTGAAAATAATTAGACTATTACTTTTTGAAGATGACCCTGAAATCACAAGCACCTAGTTTATTTATTTTTGATTTATATTATAGCAAATGATGCAAATTCGCATCAAATAATCAGTTCATCAAATTTGCTAGATGCGCAGATAAGTGCAAATTGTTTGGAATATTAAAACAAATCTTATAGTATTCTGCAGTATTATGAATTTGTACAATGTCGTATTTTCTTCTGGTCAGAAAAGAGCAATAGTTAAAAGTCCCCCCCGGTACGCAGATTTGAACTCACAATCTTCGGTTTAACCTAATAAACCGCCTGTAAACGCGTGTAATACACTGACTCCCCATTTGTGATTTAAAAAATAAATCACTTTAATTTAAAAAAAGAAATTCAGTTAATGGATTTCTCTGACTTAATTGTGCCCCACCTAATTATCTTTCTTACTAATGGAGGTAATCTCTTACACCCAGTGATTAAAAAAATGAAGAAAATAAGATATAAACTCAATTATCCGGACATAAAATTATTATTTCTCTGCTCGCTTTCACATAAATTCTTTAATTTCATTGCTTTTATTAATTTACTAATTAAGACTTTCCTCATGTTCTAGCAGTATTAAATAAAAAAATTAAATTCTTGCTATCAAAATTAATGTAATTATTCATTTTAATGATGCTACTTTATCCTATAAAAAGTTACTATTTCATAATATCACTCATCTAATTATTTTCTTTCAGGCATAATTTCCTTTACTTTACTTGCTGTTCAATAGTTTTTCAGTAGCTAAATACATGAGGATATGAATATTAAATCCAAAATACCGAATACTAATTATCCATTACCAATTCCAAATATCACAAAATTACTGAAAGTACCACTAAAACATGGTTACGAACAATACGATCCGAAACAAACTTCCTTTTTTTAAATCATAAATTAATTTATTTATATAATAAATTTTCATTCTTGTTTTGGTTTCATTAAATCTTAGTTTCAAAATAAATGATTCGGAGAAATAAGCGATAACTTCATTTAGTAAAAAAAATTAGAATCACAATATATAAATATTATTATTATAACTGTGATAGAGATTGAAAAATTAAAATATCCTCCACTATATCCAAAATAGGTAAAAAAAACAAAAAAACAAAGGAAGATATTCTATTATATTAATTATTCATCAAAAGGTTCTATATTAAATTGAAAATTAAGGACATTGCAATGACACACACACACACACACACATACATATATATATATATATATATATGTGGGGGGGGGGTGTGTGTTTAGAAACCGCATAATATTCAAGTCTCAAATTTTCAGTGATTAAAATGTGTAAAAATTATAGCCAAAGGAAATAAAAATTAGTGCAGGCAGAAGATTCTATTGTTTTTTTTTTTATTTTGTAACTTTTTGTGTTGAATGTATTCATTAGGAAAAGCAATACTTTTATTTTTATTACTTCAGGTTAACGCTACTTCTTAAAACTGAATGAAGAAAACTTTTGAATTGAAAAAGAAAGTAGTTGAAGAATTCGGTTAATACTTTTTGTTGAAGTTAAAGGTCGGAACTAAGTTAAGATTAAAGTCTTCTTCCAAGCGAATTACTCCTATTTTTGCAGCATAACAACCAACCGTAAATACCGGTTGAATTATTCAAATCACAGAAACTATATATCTAATGGTAATAATTTGTAAAATAAATTTTAATTTCTAGGACCTGATCTATTAAATCGGTTAAAGTACTAGGAAATGTGATATCCGCTATGTAATTCCATCGATTTTTTTTTTTATAATAATATCCATGGTATAAATAATTGCTTTCAATTTTAATTATCATGTCTGTAAGAGAATAGTTTCTACACGTTATGTTTCAAAGAAAACTATTTGCCTTAACGGTAATAAATGTCCTTATACATTACCATACTACCCTAGATGTACTGTCCTATCGTTTAATCAGTCTTCTCCAACGGACTGATCAGTCCACTTAAAAATTTCTTCAATACTGTATACAGCGAGAGTACTCAAGGTTCACTACCGGCTTTTTCGTTGTATATTGTATGTACTCGCGACATACATTGTTTATTTACATATTTTAACAACCCTCAAAATCCTAAACAAGACTAACTATTTTTACATTATACGCGTAAATTACAGAAAATAAATTTCGACTTTATCTTATCCAAATTTTTATAGCTGAAAACAAATTCATTCACATATTTATTTATACCTGGATAGGCATACAGAGATATGGCTAAATAAAAAGTTTAAAAGAAACTTCATATTTTTCATTCCAATATATTACTCGTTATTACAAAATCATCTTCGTAAACTTCAAGAAATCCCAAGCTACTGAATTTCAACTATCGATAGTCGAACGATACATAAGGTTCCCAATAATATATAATAAAAGAAATATGAAATAGAAGTTGGAATATAGAATAGAAGTTTTTTGTTAATGACTCCGTCCTCTGAATATACTATGGCAAAAATGTATATTGCACTTCGGCATGTAATCTGTCCAGGTCTTGATTTTTGTTTGTTCCCTTTGTTTATATGAGTAATCTTTAAATTTCATTTTAAAACATTATCAAACATAAATATTTGAAGAATAAAATGTATTAATTGTTATTGTGTATTGCGTTGACAATTTTAGAATTTATATTAATGTTAATAATAGGAACAATTTTAACTGTCTGATTTTTACCAAGTATTATTCTTAATTTGTCCTTAAGAATGTTGACTTATATATCTGTAATTTAGTATAATAAGGAAAAAAAATAGTTGTAACACCATAAGGATAATAATGTTCGTTATA